ATATTTTAGTTTCTACGATGCTACAGCTCTACTTAACCGACGCATGTTCAAAGGACCCATTTCTATACTTTGGCGCTCAAATTTTTCGCTTTTGGTACGCTCCTGGAAAGTGAATGTTTTTTTGGTTTATATTTTGTTGATTCCGGGAGTTATGTGACCATTCCCGTGAGAACCGGCGCATCATCACTCTGGTCCCAGGAATAGACTTTGCAACTCAGCAAGATCGTGGGAAACGTAGTTTACTTTTTAAATCATATTGTATTAATAAATCATTCCTTGTTCTGTTGTCGTACTGTACACTAGCGTCTAAGTTTTTGAAAATAAAAATTTTTAAAAACGAACTTCTGCCGTCGAACGATTTAAGTCGGGGCTATTATTTGCGCGCTATAAAAGTTCGTATATAAATTATTCATAGTTTCTTTTTTTGAGTGCGACGTCCGGATTTGTGAGGTTCAAGTTAACGTCTCCTTTCTGCTGCAATGGCTAAACTGGACGGGACCTACTTTGTTTACGCAGAATCCGAACCGCGGTCCTCGGCCATATCATGGTCAATGGCCTACCGACTTAGGAAGTGTCTAATTAACTCTTACTCACGAGATATCCGATCTCATCCGGCCTCGAACCGGCGTGAATGAGCAGTGTGTGTCAATAGATTTTACACTTTTCCCTTGGACAACAGCACGATGCAAAGTTTCGAACCGGTCACCCGTCCATCAACTAGCATCGCCTTACGTCGCTTAACTTCGGTGTTCTAATGGGAACCGGTGTTTCGACGTAGCTGGGCCGTTGCCCTACGTCCGGATTTCAGAGTTCATTTGTCCGGATTTCTGAGTTAACTTGTCCGGAATTTCCAAAAGCCTTTATGGAAACCCTAGGTCCGCTAGTACTTTGACAAATCTTAAAATATATATAAAAAAAAAATTTTACTTAAATCCAGACAACTTCTAAGTGTATGTATAGAACGCCCGAATTCTCGCAGATCCATTCCAGATCTCTGTCAGTCAATCCGTTGGCGAAAGCGGCTACTGCAGTCTGGGAGGTGGTACATGGTCCAAGTTGTCTGTCGGACATAGAGGTCAGAGAGGAAGATCCTAGAATGCCAGAATGCCAGATGTGCTTGTCATTTGTAGGCCCATCTCTAGCTTTTCATGTTATTTATATTTTCTGTTGCACGTTGTCAATGTTGTCAATACCTTCTTATATGAACGCGCTCCTCTAAATGTTCAAAAACTTCGTAATAGCGATGCTGTCTTTCTTGACACCTTTTTTCAAGATATTGATGAAGTTGGTTCTTTTCTTCGAATCTTGTCTTTCCGTTTGATGTCGTACTTGTAGGTATAAATTATTATTAGGTATTAAAGTTTGATTAAGCCTGCTCTGGGCTTGCCGCTTAAGATCCTAATTTCCTCAAAGTTTCAGAAGACGGTCTTGTTCTATCTTCTAGTTTTTAAGAATCTTTTAAAGATGGTGTTGCGGATGTCGTAGTTCTGCTTCTGTTTATTTCTATAGTCGCTTTCGCCCGTGTTCTTTTTGCAATCCTCCCTGTACTTGACGTTGCAATTTTCCGTTTTACTAACTCGAATTGTTTACTACTATATTGGTTCTCCACAAACCAATATGTCTGTGTTACAAATCAGGGAAGATTTCGACAGACGACATCCAAAAAAAATGACAGAAAATACAATTTGACTGTGAATTAAAATGACAGTCACTGTCAGGGATCCTGTCGTTGGAAAGACTGTAATAGTAAAAATCTATGATGAGCGAGGGATTTTACTTACTCAGGTTATAAGTATCCTGAGAATACACTAAATAAATCCATAAAAATTGTTCTTATTGTCAGCGTTCTGAAAGAGATGACATAGACCTATCTGTGTTAATGTGTAAATAAAATTTTATATTCATCCAAACATCTCACGATCAATTTGCAGAAGACAGTTGCACTAGAGATTTTTCTAAGTACCCCCCTTTCTAATAGTTCCTTCAGTTATTAATGTACCTGTAGACGTTGGTAAGTCAAGGAGTTTGGTCCATGATCACTATCCAAGCGCATATGAGGAGATGCGTAGATTATATAAGAAAAACTTCTAGCGGTGATTGAAGAAATTGGGTTGGTTTGGTTTGGTTTAACGCTTCTAGTATTAAGTATAATAATATTATTAACAAGAAAGAAAACAAAACCTAAAAATATATTAAAAAATACGGTTGAGTTTTTGATGAATTGTTTATTATTGAGGAACAAAACCAGGTCAATCGGGAAGCAATGTAGGACTGGAGTATTACACTGGTCTGCAATGAAATCCTCCTTTAAAATTTTTTGTCATCAATATGATGATTCAAATGTTCTGAATCTATCCCCGTTGGCCGATTTTTTCCATCACGTCTAGATTTTTCGATATTTTTTTAGATTTGGGAAAATTTGAAAATTGTCAATACCTATAGAATATTTCTGCTGATTTAAAAGTCGTCGCTATACTTACTGGATTACAAGGAGGATACACAAAGTTTTGCTGTTTTATTTGTGAGTGGGACAGTCGCGCTAGAGAAAAACAAATAAATTAAAGAGAGAAAAAAAAAACAAATAATATAAATACAAAATAAAAACTTGGCCAATAAGAAAAAGTTTAACTCCTGGGCTCAAAAATTTATCTCAGAAACCTTTAGTGCCAAGTGAAAAAATTTTTCTGCCACCACTTCACATAAAGTTGGGACTCATGAAAAACTTTGTGAAAGCTAGAATAAAGATGGTGTAGGTTTTCAATATCTAAAAACAAAATTTCTTCGAATCAGTAACGCAAAATTGAAGGAAGGAATTTTTGTAGGTCCGCAGATACGTGAGCTAATGAATGATGAAGCTTTTGATTCGAAGTTGAGCAAAGCAGAAAAAAGAGCTTGGGTGGCGTTTGTGGAAGTGTGTCAGTTTTCTTGAGAATACAAAAGGTGACCACTACCGACAAATCATTCAGTTTTATTACAGTTTTTTTTATAATACCATTATACCAATATAATTTTGCGTATAATATATAAAAAAACATTTGCATAAGTCGTAATCATAATCAGTCTTAATTATCGAATGTAATATCACAAGATGTTTCGGGATTACCGAATAATATATATCGAGTTGTATTCAAACTCATTCATTCATTTTGTAATAAGAATTGACGGGATATTTTGTGGAACTGACAGAAATGACTTCTGAATTAATATTTCAAAAAAATGACAATTACAATATTGTCACCAAGCGATAATCACTTAAATGATTATCACTTATTAATCACATCCTTCTATATAGGAGACAACTGACCGATATTTATTCATTTTGTGAATATAATTTAAGATTAATCACTGCAAAACTTAGACCGTAATATTTTTTATTCCCCTTATGATAATAATTATCATAAAAGGGAATAAGCGATATTATTAAAGTATCAATTATTGATATTTTAATAATATCGTTTTTTAATTAAATAAATATTATATCGAAAATCTACATGGTGGTACTTATTTGTATGTTAGATTCCGAGTTTAGAGTACAAAATATGACGAATTCATGCATGAAAACAAGAAGGAGAAAGAAAAACATTTTTGCAAGACTTTTTTAAGACTCTTGTGCAACACTATCTACAATGTAGAATGTAGAATGTTTAGGAGGGGAATTAATCACCGCGACCTTATAGATCTATTGTATGTTCCCCTTTCTTGAGTTATAACGAGTTATAACTCATCATACAGTCTCAGGGCTTTAACAAAAGCCAGTATCTGAGCCAGGCTCCACAGAGGCCAGCTCTCCATCCTCGACATCAGACGTACTAAGGTTCATGGCACGAATGGTCGTCGTCTCGGCGCACTCAGTGATAAGGTGTTCTGGTGTTTCCCTATTTTCCCCACAAAATCTGCATTCGCCGTTGTTTCTCAGTTTCAGCCTACTGAGGTGTTCGTTGAGGAGACAGTGTCCTGTTAGAAACCCCGTGACAATCCGAAGATTGTTTTTACTTAAATCAAGGAAAACCTTTGATTTTTCTCGGTCGTAAGTTCTGAGGAACTTTTTCGAGTGTCTTAGACCGTTGGATAATCTACAATACATGTCAAATATTCATTCGCTGGACTATGACTTTTCTTGTAAAAGTATTAATAATAAATGTTCAGTGCTTCTATATTTCAACTTTATGCTAGTACATAAAATAATAATTCAAAGAATGCCTAAAAAAGCTCAACAAATGAGGCAAAGAAAATAAAGTCCTCCTACTCTGGGTGCCTGCTCACCAAGGGATAGAAGGCAATGAAAAATCAAATGATCTAACTAGAAAAGGAGCGAACACTCCACTAACTGAACTGGACCAGAACCGTTCTATTTTCCAAACGGGAACCAACTGAAAGTGGAACTGAAGAATGGGTGTCCTCCAACGGTCTAAGATGAGTAAGTTCCTCAGAACTTACGACCGAGAAAAATCGAAGGTTTTCCTTGATTTAAGTAAAAACAATCTTCGGATTGTCACGGGGTTTCTAACAGGACACTGTCTCCTCAACGAACACCTCAATAGGCTGAAACTGAGAAACAACGGCGAATGCAGATTTTGTGGAAAAATGGGGAAACTCCAGAACACCTTATCACTGAGTGAGCCGAGACGATGATCATTCGTGCCATAAACTTTGGTACGGCTGATGTCGAGGATGGAGAGCTGGCCTCCGTGGAGCTGTCTCAGATACTGGCTTTTGACTGTATGATGAGTTATAACTCATTATAACTCAAGAAAGGGGAACACACAATAAATCTGGGTCGCGTTGATTAACTCCCCTCCTAAACATTCTACATTCTACAGAAAATAATATTTATTTTACTACTTATTTTAGAATATTTTTTCTCAATTTTTTCCTAGCGTCAGAAAATATATAAACCTAATTTATTTTATGACGTTCAAAAGCGAGAAAAAATATGCTTTAAGTAAATAAATTTAAATTTAGCATTCTATTTACCCGTACCATATGATACAGTTAAAATAACACCGAAGTGTAGTAAAAATCCGCAGTTCATTTAGTTTACTCGGCGGTTTTAGATCAGCTTAAAAATATTTGGATGTTCCCTAAAAATAGAAGCGCGAGTGAATAAAATACTTTGTAGCAACGCGATGTATCATAACACGCATTCAATAAAATGACTGATGAAAATCAATCCATAAAGACACCCAGCAGTGACTGTAGTAAAAAAGTGACTTTTAATAGACCCAAATTAAACTTTGAAAATTTAAATAATTCGAACAAGTTTTACGCGGACAATGTATTCGTTCGGCCAATATCGCCTAAATATCAAAGAAAGGCATCGGTGTTTCTTTTAAATCATCTAAATGACATCAAACACACAGGACTAGGAATTGGTGAACGGTGTTCTTATTGGCTGTACAGAACAATCAAATTTCTTAGTAGACGGTGGTTTACTCATTGCTTCTTAATTATAATAGTGTTTTTATATACAGTATGTGGAGCATTAATATTTCTGACAGTAGAAGGTGAGTAAAACCAAAGTTTACAGAATTCTGTAAACTTTGATAAAACTGTATTATTTATTAGAGACATGGCATGTTTTTCTGAGGGTTACCAGATTACTCTTTTTGACACTTACGAATATTTTGTGGAGCAACTATTTTACATCAATTCTTTAAAATCAATAGACTCAAACGCGTAAAAAAAGATTTTTTTGCGAGATTTTAATTTAATGTCTTACTTTAATTATTAACAATACGATCGAAAAAAATCGGCGTCAAAGACGGCCGGGGAATGACAATCGTTGATAATTTTGGCGAGATCAAGCCCTAGACGTCGTTACTGGGCCCATACTCTTTTTATTTTTTAATTGCGCTGACTGGAAGTTGACTTAAAAAAGGTTGTAATTTATTTTTATATTGAGTGAAAGTGATTTATAAATGGTGTAGTTTAAAATTCGAGAAAAAATAATTTTTTGAAAATAGATTTGTGTATTAGGCCAGTCAATTTAAGACATCCCACATCGCAAACGGGACTGCATCTACGATTTTTTTATATATTGCTGGGACCCATGAGACTAAGTTATGCCCAATTTTGCAACCCTCAAAACCATGTGCTACTCCCGTGATACTCAAAAAAACCCAAAATTTTGGTACTTATTTCAGTTTTTTTGAAAAAACTATGTTTAGAAAGCATTTTTCAAATTTAATTGTTCTACACCTTTATAAAGTCAACTAAATTTCCTATTATTTAAGCCCAACACGAACCCTCTAGGCCAATTCGTTGTTGAAATACAGCCAATCAAATATCGGCAATTTTTTTGAAAAACTAAAAATTTATGAGTACGGTTAGATTCCAAAGCACGTATCGGCTAAACTAATGGCTCTAGAGAAAAGTCATAGAAATTGAGTTGTAGAGAATTTATTCAGCTTTAATTTGATGTAAGAATGAGGCCTTAGGCGTCGTATTTTACTCAAAAACCAAAATATAGTAAAACATCGAAGTTTGGGGCTATCATGAAAACATATTTTATTAAACGTAATTAAAAATAAACAACATAAATATAATATGTATAAACTAAAAAATATAATACAAAAGCCCTACTTTACTTGGCCCTCTTAGAATGGCCAAGGATCAGTTAGTTGGGAGGGGAGAGGAGGAGGAGGAAGGACATTCTCTGACGATGGAGGTGGGTCTTCATATGTTAAATCGTCCAATTCCTCGTCCTCCTCATCTAAGATGATGGGAGTAACGTTGCTGCAAATTGCAACGCATAGTTATTGGCATAAGACCCTGTTGACTGGTGTTCCATTCTCAGTCGGATGGATTTTTCTCGACCCCCAACCATTTTTGAACCTGGTGGTAGGTTCTCCAAAAATGATATTTGGCACCTTCTGTAGTTGGGGGGAGGCAGGCAAGGTTTATTTTGGCCATTCCTGCCGATTTTACGAATGTCAAGTATCGCATGCTGTTCAGCGTGCCGTGATCCCCTTCATAGAGGATCAACAAAATCTTCTCGCCAGCATTTTCTACTTCTTCCTGCGTCGAGTTTGGATCAAAGAAAATGATGGCGAGGTCTATCCAGTGGGGATTTTTCGTAGACATTCGCACCACTTCATTTTGCCTTGTGCCACTTCACTTTGCCGTGTCACACCCACTGATTGCATGCAGAAACAAAACCATCTCTTCTGGAAGCTGCATTTTTCCACTTAAGAAGTAATTTGCCTCATATTGAGCGCACTCAGATCCACCTCTACCTGGAAGTAGACGTTTGTTTGTCCACCGCTCAAGCCATTTAGGAGAACCAGTAAATCAACATCCTCCCCCATGATAAAAACTTGGTCGTACGATGAGCTCTTGGAGAGGGCAGTTCTCACTATCTCAGCATCGGCGTCTTCTGGTGATTGATGTACCTCGATACCCTGTCTCTCAAATTCGGTACACATCATGATGATCAGTCGGCGTTTGTTCGATTCATTTGAGAGCACTTTTGCTTGAGGCACTTTGATGAGTGTCGCTTCATCAAACAAAATGTCACCACAGGAAAGAGAAGCAGATCGCCGCAGGCGTTCAGCTGATTTAGTGTTTTTCATAGCCGCATCTTCTGGGTATTCTTCAAAAACCACTGCAACATTTTTACCAAAGTTGATTAAAACGTAGCTGACGTATCCAGCCACAATATCTCTGACTACCTTGTGCAGGAGGTAACCACCAACGACCACTGTGAACGCCTGGTTTCCTGGGATAATGTTTTTAGCGACCGGTGTAAATGCTGAATAGAAGGAAGATTTAGTACCCTTGCGCATTCCTTCTTGAGTGAACAAGGACAACGGATATGGTTCTAGCTCATTCACACAATTTTTTCGTTTTTGAGCAAAATACGACGCCTAGCTGCCTCATTCTTACATCAAATTAAAGCTGAATAAATTCTCTACAACTTCATTCCTAATGACTTTTCTCTAGAGCCATTATTTTCGGCGATACGTGCTTTGTAATGTCAAGTAATGTGACCGTACTCATACATTTTTAGTTTTTCAAAAAAATAGCCGATATTTGATTGGCTGTATTTCGACAACGAATTGGCGTAGAGGATTCGGGTTGGGCTTAAATTGTAGGAAATTTAGTTCACTTTATAAAAGTATAGAACAATTAAATTTGAAAAATGCTTTCTTAACAATTTTTTTTTAAAAAAACTGAAATAAGTACCAAAATTTTGAGGTTTTTTGAGTATCACGGGAGTAGCACAGGGTTTTGAGGGTTGCAAAATTGGACATAACTTAGTCTCATGGGTCCTAACAATATATTAAAAATGATAGATACAGTCCCGTTTGCGATGTTTGCCTTTTTAAATGTCTTAGATGACTGGCTTATATCAAAATCAAATCAAATCAAAATCTTTATTAGTATAATACAATTTAATATTGCTTTACGTCGTCAATAGATACAAGAATATAAAATACAATAAATTTCAGTGAAGACAAAATACAATAAATTTTACTGAGGACTAGTGAGGACATCGCTCCCAATACACACACTCTGGTTCTCGTAGACTGTGTTAGGTACGGCAGTTAGCAAAAATTAATTCATAGAATAAAACGGATTGACTTCCAAATAAGTTTGATACATAAAAGCTAAAAAAGCTTAAAATTATTTAAGGTCATATTGAGATTGAGATAGCCAGGCGGCATGCGGCATATGATTAAAAAATTGGGACCAAAGTAGGGTTTCCGGAACCGGAGCTGTTTTTCGGAACTGGGAATTTCGGTACCGCGCCTCTTAGGAACCGGGATTTCCCGTTTTTTTCGTCACTTTCGGTACTGACTAATTTTTGTTTAGTGGTGGTGCAGTTCATCAATCAGAAAGCAAGGAATGGGTTTTCAAAGTAAAATGGACAAAAAATTGAGATTTTTAATAAAAAAAAATTAATAAGTAATCACTCATGAAAAAATTAACATGAACACAAACATCAAACATGAACACAAGTAAAGAAAAAAGTATATAAGCAACTTAAATTTCACATCAAACAACATAAACCAACGTAACTGGATTTTAGACAAAAGTCCTAAAATATTGAATAAAAAATGCAAATATCTATTAAAACATAACATAATAAATATTATAGGAACTTCAAAAGAGAAAAGTAGAAAGAATAATAAGAAATACCATCATTACTTATTTAGAAGAGTTTGATTTCGACCGCTAGAAAGTATCAAAGGATTTTCTCACGTAACAAAAAAATAATTTTTTAATTATTGGTACCGGTTAGGCCCGGTTCAGTGATGGCCAAAAAGGTCTGAACCTTAATTGGTAGTATTAATTAGAGTTTCCGGAACCGTACTAAAATTTGTTCAATGATTGTGGAGTTCGTCAATTAGCAAGCAAGGGATGGTTCTCAAAAGTAAAATCGACAAAAAATTGAGTTTCAAATGAAAATAATATCAAATTATTAAGTCATAAGAAAATAAACATGAACACAAATAATGCAACACAAGCAATAAAAAAAGAAAACACATAGGTAGCTTAAAAAAACGTCAAACATCAACCAACCTCGAAACCAACTAAACTAAATTTGAAAAAAAATTACATTTTCAATTAAAGATGCAAATGCCTATAAAACATAACACAAAAAATATAACTAATACATTTAGTAATATTATACTAAATAATAAAATAAAATAAGTAAAATAACATATTTATACTTCAATAATTGCTAATAAACTTTATAGAAACTTCAAAATACCTTCAGAAGTAAGAACAGGTAAGAGATAGCATCACTACTTATTTATTTCGAAAAATAGAAGATTTTGATTTCGACCACTAGAAAGTATCAAAAGTCTTTCGCACGTAACAAAAAATATGTTTTTAATTATTATTGCCGAGTCCCGAACGTAACGAAAGAACCGGGAATTAATAATTTCGAGTCCCGGTTCTTTGATGTCTCAAAAGAACTGGGAATTCCCGGTATTTGCGGTACCGGAATTTCCCGGTTCTGAACCCTAGACCGAAGTAATTTTTAGGCTGTAGCGACTTGCTCCGAGTCTACCGATACCCAACTCTAACCGTCGCTGATCCTCTTGTATCATGACTATGAGACTGACCTAGTATGAGACTATGTATGTCATTGTTTTGTAAATACCCTAGATCATATATACTTACGTGGATAAATCAACGCCATAAGTTTAGCATTAAAAAATATATCCCCAACATCACGACATGCCATTTTCAAACCTTCTTTATTGCACTTATGAACGTTCAATAGGTTTGTCTTTCTCGAGGACCTGACTTTACGCATGCGCATTAAAAGTGGCACGTATTTCCAAAATAATTACAATTTTATCCGGTTTAAACTTTGAATAAGAAGACTAAGGAAGGAGCATATCAAAAATCCTAGGTACACCGCGATGGGCCTCAAATATGGCCGACTTAAATTCCGGTTTATCAGTGTCGTTCTAATTTTATTTAAAAAATGTAAAACTATGATGTAGGGTAGACTCAATAATTTGTTGTTTTATTTTACGTTGTGAAT